GTCCCACTTCTACCACCAGTACCACATCCAGTCCCACTGCTGCCACCAGTACCACACCCAGTCCCACTGCTGCCACCAATAGCACACCCACTCCCGCTGCTGCCACCAGTACCACACCCAGTCCCACTGCTGCCACCAGTAGCACACCCACTCCCACCACTGCCACCAGTAGCACACCCACTCCCACCACTGCCACCAGTAGCACACCCACTCCCACCACTGCCACCAGTAGCACACCCAGTCCCATTGCTACCACCAGTAGCACACCCACTCTCATCACTGCCACCAGTAGCACACCCACTCCCACCACTGCCACCAGTAGCACACCCACTCCCACCACTGCCACCAGTAGCACACGCACTCCCACCACTGCCACCAGTAGCACACAAACTCCCACCACTGCCACCAGTAGCACACGCACTCCCATCACTGCCACCAGTAGCACACGCACTCCCATCACTGCCACCAGTAGCACACGCACTCCCACCACTGCCACCAGTAGCACACAAACTCCCACCACTGCCACCAGTAGCACACCCACTCCCATCACTGCCACCAGTAGCACACGCACTCCCACCACTGCCACCAGTAGCACACGCACTCTCACCACTGCCACCAGTAGCACACCCAGTCCCATTGCTACCACCAGTAGCACACGCACTCCCACCACTGCCACCAGTAGCACACGCACTCCCACCACTGCCACCAGTAGCACACGCACTCCCACCACTGCCACCAGTAGCACCAAAACATGCCAATGTTGCACACCCAGGTACCCCACCAATGCCACATTAACCTGTCCTCATTTCACCTCAACCTTACCTTGTTGCGACTGTCACAATCTCAGACAATCCTATTAATTTAAGAATCTATACAGACACATATATAACAATTGTCTATGAATACATTCACCTTAAACTGACCTTTACTGAAAATGGACATATGTAGTGAACCTGATGAACTCCATATCATCTAGTTCACCTTGCATTTCAATTTAAAACTGCCAATAATGTAACTGCATGTGGACATAATATTCTTAGTATTTCTAAACTGATGAATTTAAAAAAAAAATTATTCCTATCACTTAGTACTTAAATGCTTCTCAGGAAACTGTATTAAATTTTTACTTTTCATTGAAAATAAATGTCATCAAAACAATATAAGCAGTAGCTTTTATGAGTATTTCATAAAAAATATGTCTTTGTTTCTGTGTATTCAAAATAGTAGATTGAGGTGACGAGGTAATACCGACTGATAACGTATCTCATTGTATACAGAAGATGATGCTATCAATCACCATGGAGTCTATGAAATCTGACATTAATGTTCTGTTTTAGGGAATTCAGTACAAAATTAAACAATAGAACTGACAGCTCATCACTCAATAAACACTGAAAAACAGAGCAAATTTGCAAATTATTGGGCATCCAGCCACTCTGCTATGTAAACATTTACTGGGGGCTGGCAATAAATTGCTAATAACATCAACATTTGACGTTTTTTTTTGTCGGTGTGTTATTGATCCAACTTAGTGTACCCAGCGTGCTAGTAGCTCATTTCATTCAACGATAGATGACCACATACATAAGTATATCAGTGGCAGAGACATGCTGTTAGACACTAAGCTCACAACTCCATCTTTGTACGCTACATGGCGACATACTGAGCTTTTTGAAAACAATTCCCTATAGTTATTTGTCAGGTTATTTGACAGACTATTGATTTATCCTATTCTTCTTCTATTTTCACAAATATCATGAATCGTGAAAAACTGCGACTTTCACAAAATTTAATCTGGTGAATGCCCGCAAATTATAAAAATATATATAAAAATGCAGGTTAAATTTTATTACTATCGGTAATTTCTAAACTATACCAAGCCAATTTTTAGACTAGAACACTCAAAGCTCACTAGAGTCGAAACAATACTTCAAAAATCATGATAATACTACTGTAGTTTTCTTCAGATGATGAATACAGTTGATAAATATCCTGGCAATTAAATTACATCACAAATATTTTTTTAATACATTACTTAAATAATTTTAATGGCTGATATTTTTAAATATAGGTATATATTTCTTGTTCCCAAAATTATGAGAAGCAACTGACTAAACCGTAGATTTAAACAGTCAACATAACCCTTTGAAAACGAATGATATAGCTTCTGAATTAACTTCATTTTAAGCCTATTATAACCAGATAGTGAAGAAGATGATTCCCTCTCTCCAAACTTACAGCATTTTTAGCACCTCCATAACTATATAAAAGGTTTTCACTCCATGGTAGTAAAAAATAACATTACATTATTATCTCATGTATTGCTAAAATGTACTTTTGAAAAACAAATAATGTACTTTAATGGGATCAAGCACTTAAACTAACAATAAAGTCTGAAAAGCAAAATACAGTTCTTGAATGGACAAATCATGCAGAATTCTGGCTTTAATTAAAATACAGTTATAAAAATAAATATATTATTAAAATCAGAAACACAATATTCATGTACATGATTAAATGCATATTAGATTTTAATTTTTCTAGTTTTAGGGAAGGAAAAAATAGAAAAACGTTCTACTCAATTTGCTTTTCCAAATCAATGCATTTTCCTCAGGATTGAATTTTCTTTTTTTCAGCGACTCGCATATTTTTTAACTAATACATATGATGAATAGAAACATGAATACATTTTTTCCGGGTTTTACCAAGCTCACACCTATGGCAAAATGTAGCCCCCAGATCCCAGCTCATACCTACAGGGACATGGAGCTCCAGATTTCAGCTCACACCTAGATGTAGCAGATTCCAATTAAGAAAGGCTTATAGTCACTACAAGAATTGAGATTTACAAAGAACCGATAAATATTATGCAAACTGGATAACTGTTACTGATGATGAGTGATCAGTTTAGACTTAGATGGATTATGATAACGAAATTAATCCCTGCAACCAACTATACATGTATGACGCTACACACACGTACATGTTTATTTATGATTATTGTAATAAGATGATTGTGAATAATGCATTTGATAGATGACCTTATACACTATATTTACACAAGGTTGCAATGAAAGTCAGTTCAAAAGTTCAAGTGTATAAATAACCCAATCAGACGACAGTCTGCATAGTACATTCACACTTAACGATTGAAACTTGTATTTTCAGGTTTTACGAAATTTCTATACAAACATGCAATAACTAACGTCCAACTAATTAATTTTATGTACGTAAACCTACAATTAACAATAATTAGGGTAATTATAATTAAATTCACTCATCCAAATATTGAATATCAAAAATGATTATAGAGGATTTAACATAATTTTTTTTATAAAATATTAATTATCATGTAGAGTTAAAACAGTATTTATTCTATCTGAGGTTCATAAGATTGATATGTGCACAAATCAAAAATATTATTTTATCACCATAAAATTTGAACATGTTGGGAGCAGTGTAGACCGTTCGATTTTCTTTCTAAGGTTCCAGGGTTGGTCACGTAACGCATAAACTAACGTCCTTGTGCAGTGTACGTGGCATTTATCAACAAGAGCCAGTATATTTAATTAACTTCTATGATGGTTATATCTGCAGTAAATCATGAAAAAGTACAGCATTGTTTTTTTCAGTGAAAATAAATTGCAGTTAACTCAAATAACTAATTACGCTTACTTGGCTTGCAGCAAACTACTGAAATCAACTTTGCAGATTCACTCTCATTTCTACTTCACCAGAGCATTTAACAGTGTAGATGAACAGCGCCCTCTAACAGAATATTCAAGATTCAGTTGTACAAACATGTTTAAGTGGCCATCTATATATAAAGACCACCTGCCAATAGTGACCACCTTTATATAAAGACCACCTGTCCATAGTGACGCCTTTATATAAAGACCACCTGTCCATAGTGAACACCTTTACATAAAGACTACCTGTCCATAGTGACCACCTTTATGTAGAGACCACCTGCCCATAGTGACCACCTTTATATAAAGACCACCTGTCTATAGTGAACACCTTTATATAAAGATCACCTGTCCATAGTGACCACCTTTATATAAAGACCACCTGTCCATAGTGAACACCTTTACATAAAGACTACCTGTCCATAGTGAACACATTTATAAAGATCACCTGTCCATAGTGACCACCTTTATGTAAAAACCAACTGTCCATAGTCAACACCTTTATATAAAGACCACCTGTTCATAGTGACAACCTTTATATAAAGACCACCTGTTTATAGTGAACACCTTTATGATATGTAAAGACCACCTGTTCATAGAGAACACCTATATATAAAGACCACCTGTCCATAGTGAACACCTTTATATAAAGATCACCTGTCCATAGTGACCACCTTTATATAAAGACCACCTGTCCATAGTGAACACCTTTACATAAAGACTACCTGTCCATAGTGAACACATTTATAAAGATCACCTGTCCATAGTGACCACCTTTATGTAAAAACCAACTGTCCATAGTCAACACCTTTATATAAAGACCACCTGTTCATAGTGACAACCTTTATATAAAGACCACCTGTTTATAGTGAACACCTTTATGATATGTAAAGACCACCTGTTCATAGAGAACACCTATATATAAAGACCACCTGTTCATAGAGAACACCTATATATAAAGACCACCTGTCCATAATGACCACCTTAAAATTTATATAAAGACCACCTGTCTATAGTGAACACCTTTACATGAAGACCACCTGTCCATAGTGAACACTTTTATACAAAGACCACCTGTCCATAGTGACCACCTTTATGTAGAGACCACCTGCCCATAGTGACCACCTTTATATAAAGACCACCTGTCTATAGTGAACACCTTTATATAAAGACCACCTTTCCATAGTGACCACCTTTACATAAAGATCACCTGTCCATAGTGACCACCTTTATATAAAGACCAACTGTCCATAGTGAACACCTTTATATAAAGACCACCTTTCCATAGTGACCACCTTTATGTAAAAACCAACTGTCCATAGTGAACACCTTTATATAAAGACCACCTGTTCATAGTGACAACCTTTATATAAAGACCACCTGTTCATAGTGAAAACCTTTATATAAAGACCACCTGTTCATAGTGAAAACCTTTATATAAAGACCACCTGTTCATAGTGAAAACTTTTATATAAAGACCACCTGTTCATAGTGAAAACCTTTATATAAAGACCACCTGTTCATAGTGAAAACCTTTATATAAAGACCACCTGTTTATAGTGAAAACCTTTATATAAAAACCAACTGTCCATAGTGAACACCTTTATATAAAGACCACCTGTTCATGGTGAAAACCTTTATATAAAGACCACCTGTTCATAGTGAAAACCTTTATATAAAGACCACCTGCCCAGTGTACACCTTTATATAAAAAAACACCTGGCCACAGTGATCACATCTAGGCTGAACATTTGTGGTATACAAGACAAGAGGACCTTAGTTATCTGTGGTATGATCACATTTTAGTTCTGGGGGACATAGCGTTTCAGATATATTCAATATACATGTAATGTTGTTATGGTGACAGCAAAAATCAACTTAGATGCGTAGAGAAAAAAGTCATATTCATACTAGGAACAATGGAACCTAAATGAATAAACAGTTTATGCCATGCGATGAGCTATAAGGCCCATTTTTCAATTGTGTTCTGATGTTCTGCAATCACTCATTCTATTCAGATTATCCATGACTATCCATGTT